TGTCTTGCTTTGAAAACTTCAACCCAAGAGACCACAAGGCAATGCCATATTTAGGTCTATAAGTTGTGATTGGAATAACAAGGGAATTGATCTTGCCAGTGCATTGGGTTTCTCCTATTCAATGAGTAAGAACCTCACTTTAGCGCATCTTTTCGAATGAGATTTTGGCGAAAGTCAAATTTGGAGAAACTGATTCACTCTAGTTTATGATAAGGCAACCAAATACAGACAGAAAGGGATGCTGTTGGTGAAGTCGGTTACGGTTTGCATAGGAAGCATGATATTCAAGCCAACAAAAAGGCTGTAGTTCCCTTTAGGGTGCCTTGTGCTTGTACGGAGGAGGTCCATGCCTCTTTTGTTTGTTATTCTTCAAGAATAGATAAGGCGACGATTTATGGGTTGGGGACTGTTTATTGTCAGAATCTCTTGCTCTTCCTATGAAGCTAGCTAAATAGGTGAGGATATATAGTAGTTTCTAATACTCATAGTGACTCTAATTTCTACATTAATAGCCTTATTTAGCTCATGGTAGATGGTTCTTTTTGCTTAATTGTTTATATTCGTCATGAGCACAGTTGCTATGCTTCTGATTTTGTCTTTAGGTTATATTATTTTTGGCTATAATGCCATGAGATTGAGATTCTATTGTAATTTCTTATTAGTTAATGTATTTCTCTATTTCCTATAAAAAAAATTTATATAGAAAAAATAAAAGTTGATTTTAAATTTATCAACTATCTAACTAAAATAATCCAAGTGGTATTGATGTTAAAAATAATGTTTTATTTTTACATTTTTTTATAAAAATTTATTACAAAATAACACATTTAATGCACTTTAACCTATACCCTTAAATAAATCCATAATATAATTTATATTAGGTCATTAATTTTAAATTTTGCTACTTCCTCTTATTACTCTTTTAAATTATAAGCTGTTTGAAACAACTAAATTCAACGGAGCTTTAAAAATATTTTAACTTTGAATATTAAAAAAATAAAAGAAAAAGAAAAAGGAGGAAGAAGGAGAAGAAAAAAGAAAGAATTTGGACTGAAAGATTTGAGATAATGAGTCCAGCCCAACAAGTGACCCAGCCCAACCATTCTAATTACACTTGGACAGTTGGACATGAAACTCGCTAATAGTGCGGCCCATGGATGACTTTCGGTTCAAAAGGTACAGTAAATATGCAAATAAAGATGTCAACTTTACATTTTTTTTATTTAAAAATGTTAACTTTATTAATTTTTAAATAAGGATGTCAACTTTCAATTTTTTCTAAATAAGGATGTCAACTTTCAACTTTCAACTTTCAACTTTTTCTATTTAAAGATTAATTGGGTGATGATACTGATGTGGCTAATATATTTTTTTAGGTTAAATACTTGAATTGGTCCCTCAACTTTTATTTTTGAATTAATTCATCTTTGAACTTTAGAAAGTACCGAAAATGTCCTTAAACTTCAATTTTCAGTACCAATTTCATCTTTTCATCAGTTATAATTGAATATCATAATGTTCTTTAACACTAAATATTATATTTTTTAATAGATTTATATTTATTATTTAAATAATTAATTTTTTTATTCATATACAATTTATAATATTAAATATATTAATATATTTAATAATATATAAAAATTATATAAAAATTTCTAAGAAAAATTTGGCCCGTATCACTATATGAGTGAAGACGCCCTAGTAAATAGGCTCACTTTATAATAACTTTAATAGGAAGAGGACATCCGACGCTTCCAACCAACCTTAAAAAAGTGCGAGAAGTCGTGCGAGAAGTCGTGCGAGAAGTCGTGCGAGCCTCAAATGCTTTTCAGTTTATTCATATATATATATATCATCTGTTAAGTTCCCGAACTTGTTCTTCTCACAATAGGGATAGCCAGAGAGGTAGAGTTTCCCTAAGAAAAAGTTTTTAATGAGAAGATGGCTTTATTTTGGCTGTGTCGTCATCTCTACGGTGTTGATTTGACATCCAAGAGTGCATTCTTAAGACTACGGAACAAGTGAAAGGTATTATGTTTATTTTTTTTACAATCGACTTATGGTTTTTTTTTTTTAATCGAAATTTACATGCAAAAAGGAATTAGAGAAATATGTTGGTGGAATCGGAACAATCGGAGGTGCAAAAAAGAAATCAAACAATTCTGTGGTTTGACGAACAATGGAAGAAATTGATTAATTTTATTCAACCATTGCAGGTTGAGAAAGTTTGACTTATATTTTCGTTGAGTTGTTTTTTTGATCAAAAGAAGTGATTGATTCTATTTTAGATTTAGAATTCTTCTGAAAGATGGTATAGATAATGTAATAGATTTTGAAACACCATAATCTCTAAATTTTAAAAGATTGAATGTTTAATCACTTAATCTGATTATGAATGGATTCAATTTTTATGAAATCAGTTCTAATTTGTAGAATAATCTCGGCATTGAAATTTATGTATTTGCATTTTGCATAGCCAAACAAGTTTTTGTTACCTTATTGAATGCATACCTTTAGCTATTTGTGAACTGTTTAATTTATTTAAAAGTTTTGGAAGCATTCAGGGCGGTAATTGGAGAATTGAGTTCAAGAATTGAGCTTGAACCTAGAAATTTGACCTAGACTGGAATGGAATTGCACTTTGCACCTTAATTTGAACCTATTTTTTTTATTGAAGTTTTACTTGTCAAACAAGAAATTTGAATTTAAGTTTGAAATTCAGATGTTGAAGTCAAAGTCATTTTTTTTAGTTGCATGATAAGTTTAGTAATATTATAAATAATTGATTTTTTTTTTTTGAGATATTCACCTTATCAGTCATATTTTATTTTGATTATTTTATAAAAAAAAAATCACACGAATGTTTCTTTTAAGACCTATTCATACCACTTTTTTAAGATATTCGTTAAGTATTAAAATGCCAATTCAAAGTTTATTGTTTTCCACAAAATTCTACAGGAAATCTCACCTAACTCAGCAATTGACGCCCTACCTATCCATTTAACTTGGGAGTTTGAATTCAAATAAACTTCTACAGTAGGTTAACAGTAGCCTTTCCCATCTGTTGGAAACCTTTCCAACCCTAACAATTTTTACTTTGAACCATGGGAAACAAATTTCTATCACCATGTCTTTTTCCTTACATGTATGGGAGACTTTTCTATCCCCTCATCTACGTCTTCTCTGTTGCAGAGTAGACTTCCTCTCCTATCGTCAGAAATTCTCCAACATGTCATCCATCACAAGATGGCGACAAGTTCGTGTCCTTAATTTCAGAGCGCAGAAATATTTGTTATTTGTTGAAGGAGACGCAAAAATAAAAGGATCTTGACTGAGATTCCCACCGGTTTCGACACTCCGTGGGACAAACCTTAATAAAATCTTACTAAAAATAGAATAATACCGGTTTGTGGAAGGAGAAGTAAATACAATAAAAGGATCATGGTTGAGAAACTACCGGTTTGTCACCCGGTCGGACACCTCGCACTAAAATTTTATTAAAAATAGAATAATGCCAGTTTAAGGATATCATGCCAATATATTTAATCCTATATTTATTTATCAAGTTTTTCTTTAATTATGGTATCAAATAAACACCAAGAATGCACTTGGCCTTCGGTCCAATGACGTCAGGTCACGCATAAATGCATTCTTCCACTCCCAAGACAACGGTTTGAATTCGGCTCCTTACGAATTTGTTAAAAAATAAATAAATAAATAAACACAAAAAATATCCAATAATCTGTTGATTTGAGTGAAAGGAGTTCGGTTTTTCTTAAATAAGATTTTGAGTTTAAATATTGTGAATGGAAAAATAAGTGTTAAAAGAGTTTTTCCCTAATGAGGTCCGATGCAACTTGATTTCGGATGAATAGAGATTTAATATGATTACTGGATATTAAGAGATTAATAAAAAAAAAAAAAAACACCAAGAATAATTCCCAAAATTGTTTTGTTTTTATTTTGTATCATTTGGGTCTAGCTAGATTGATAGTTGTTTCCTTGTGTTTTTGCATTTGATGGCAGGCGTCGGTGGCTGAGAGGCAGTAGCAATTTTTTCTAATTCAACAATGGCCCTGCTACTGCCTCCGATCTATGCTCGTGCTCTGCTGTCCAAAATGGCAGTTTCCATTGGAACTGGAGTAAAGGTGCCCATAAGAATATTAATTTTGTATTTTTTTTATTTAAAAATATTAAGTTTGTCAATTTTTAAATAATGATGTCAACTTTTCAATTTTTTTTAAATAAAGATGTCAACTTTTAATTTTATCTATTTAAGGACGTTAATTTTCAAATTTTTTTATTTAAGAATTAATTGAGTGGTGATACGGACATGGCTAACATATTTTTTTAGGTTAAATATCTGAATTGGTCCCTCAACTTTTATTTTTGAACCAATTCATCCTTAAACTTTAGAAAGCACCAATTTTATCTTCTGTCAGTTAAGTGCTGATGTAGTTAATTTTTCCGCTAAGTGATTGACTATTTTACATTTTCAATATTAGGTGAAAAATCCATCATGTAAAAGATGATTATGTGGGTTTTTTTAATTTTAAATAATTTAAAAA